GAGATCTTGCCTCAAAAAAGAGAACCAACTACTCAATAAGGTATCTATGTTCTAACCCAATTATTCACACAGATTATAATCCAGCTAGTAACGACTATGATTTAGATTTTAAAACTGAATGTATTTCTACTGTCTTACTCCCTTTGAAGAAGGGGTTTTCTACATTTATACATTTTAGCTCGAAAGGTCATTGACTTTTTTTATTACTGTTTGTTCTGTTGCAAAAAAAAGTTTTTTAAAAATCTGAAAATAGCTGGGTGTAGTGGTGTATCCCTGTAATCCCAGCACTTGGGAGGCTGAGGCTGGAGGAGCACTCTGAGTTCAAGACCAGCCTGGGCTACATGGTGAGTTCAAGGCCAGACTCACTATGTCTCAGCCTGTCTCAACTCCTGCCCCAAAGAAAAACCCCTAGAAGTATTCTTATAACATCTGAACAAACAAACAAGTGATTTTATAAACATGTTTCCAATGCTGGATTTCCAAGATTGTCATACTAATGTGAAAGATTTCAACAAATACCACTGAAACACAAAAAATATTTTAAAATACTGTACAAAGTATGATGAACACATCATCCTGGACTTCAGATAACTGACAGTCTAGAACAGTGATGGCGAACGTTTTAGAGCTTTCAGTGATACGAACAGCCCGCTGGGCTCGAATGCCCCATGCGTTCACCACCACTGGTCTAGAATATCCAAATACAATATTGTCAGGTCTAGGGCAACGAGCTTAATGTGCTAAATTGAATTAGGTTTTGGAGGACTGCAAAACACTCGTCACTGAGCTCCTTCGTAGAGGAATCTCCACCTCATTCCCCCCTCACAGAAAGAGCCATATCACCTTGAAAATTCCGCCAGCTTCAGGTTGCTTCAGAAGACCCTGGGGGTCTATTCCATCCCGGGCACAGGTCACGTACATTTCAGAGTAGTCCTTCCCTCCAAAGCAGCATGAAGTTGTTTTCTCAACAGGCAACTTCACAGTTTGAAGTCTTTTCCCTAGATCACCAAATACTTAATGTTTAGTTCTAGCAATTTCCAACCTCTGCAATAGTTCTGGAGCCTTTGCAGGGAAGCAAGGACGTTCTAAAGAAGACTGGAGGTTGCAATCCTTCCATGTATTTAGCTTGTCTTCCTTGAAAAATTCTTCCAGGCAAAAAGAGCTCCACAGAAGAAAGAAATTCTAACTATAAATTTTGGGGTATATCTTTGGCCTTTATTTCCAAAGTTATCCAATTGAGGCCACTGACTAGATCTCTTTATTAGTAGCAAGGTATCCCTGGTCCACCCCTGGTCCCTTGTATGTGGTATTTTCTAGACATGTCAGGCCAGGCTCATTTTGCTGTAGGCATACCTGTCACAGGGTCTAGACGGATCACTCTTCCTCCATTGTAACAGGCCACCCACAGCTTCCCCTCCACGTCGATACACATTCCGTCTGGAATATGCTCATCTTTCTCCAGCTTGTAAACACTTCTGCGCTTGGCTGAGGTTCAAAAACAAGAACAAGAACGCACCAAAATAACAGGCTACTCTGTACCGAGAATGGGACAATGAGCTCTCAACCTGATTATAAACACTGATTGCTTCTGCTCATCCAGGGTCTGGCATGTGAATAAAGGATTTCTACCACATGTTTTGGGGTAGATTAATTCCCTTTTTTTGTTTGGGTACAGATATATCTGCCTAGGTTTTCAGAGGAGGAGGGAAAAAAAAACAAGCAGATTTTATTTATTTATTTATCTATTTTTTGAGATAGGGTCTCGCTTTGTAGCTCAGGCTGGGCTTGCGCTCACTATGTAGTCCAGGCTGGTCTCGAACTCACAGGAGAGAGCTCACTAGGAGAGAATTCTTAATAAAATACTAGTAGGTAGTTTTCTCTGAGGCTGATCTGCAATGAGATATTGCAAGCCCATTTCAGGTACGTAGACTTTTGCTGTTGTAGTTACAAAAATGTCTGCTTTAAGCCCAAGATCTAAAAGGCCACATAATGGTACCACACAGACAGTTCATGCACAAAACCCCAGAAGACACAGGAGTTCGTTTTCTGCCTAATGAAATGTTCTAGAGGCATGACTAAAGCCAGGTGTGGCGGTGCATGCCTATACTCCCAGCACTTGGCAGCTGAGGTAGAAGGACTTTGAGTCTGAGACCAGTCTGGGCTATATAGTAAGACCCTAACAAAAACAAAAAATCAAGGCTAAATATTAGAAGAACTTGCATCCAAAAAAAGGGGTATTCCAAAACCCACTGGCTGGTTACAGGGAGAAATCACAATATACAAAAAATAAGCAAAAGCCAGAGGAGCAAATAGGCATGGTGGCACAGGCCTGTAATTCCAGTATTCTGGAAGCTGAGAGAAGAGGATTGCAAGTTTGAGCCCAGCCTGGGCAATGTAGCACTTAGTAAGACCCTATCTCAAAATAAAAAAATAAATCTTTTAAGAAAAAGACTGAGGATGTAGCTCAGTGTGAAGATCCTGTGTTCAATAATCAGTATTGTGAGAAAAAAAAACCCAGGGGAGGAGTCAGGTGCTGGAGGCTCATGCTTGTAATCTTAGCACTCAGGAGCCTGAGGCAGGAGGATTGTAAATTTGAGCCCCCCTGGGGGGGGGGCTACACATTTAGAGCTTGTCTCAGAAAAAAGTAAAAGTAAGGATGTAGTTAAGTGTCAGACCAGGGGGATGAGACCCTGAGTACAATCCCAAGTACAGAAAGAAAAAAAAAATCCCAGTCACTACAGTAATTCAATTGGAGTATAATGGGAAAACTGTTAAAACCATGTGTAAGGAAAATGGGTTAAAAACAGTTATAAAAAAATGAGCAGTACAAGCCAGGCATGGTGGTACACGCCTGTAATCCCAGCACTCAGGAGGCTGAGGCAGGAGGATCGTTGCGAGTTCGAGACCAGCCTGGGCTACAAAGTGAGATCAAGCCCAGCCTGAACTGCATAACGAGACTCTGCCTCAAAAAAAAAAAAAATAAAATAAAATAAAAATAAAAATAAAAAATTGAGCAGTACATATTTCCTTTTTTTTTTTTTTTTTTTGAGACAAGGTCTTGCCATGTGGCCTAGGCTGGCCTCAAACTCACAGTGGTCTTCCTGCCTAAGCCTCCCAAGTACTGGGATTACAGGCATGCGCCACCACCTGTGGCTAATATTTCAAAGCAAAATATTTGTATTGGAATATTTTGCCTCTGATTAAATCTACATGAAGAGTCTTATGATTTTTTTCAAGTCATTTTTATGATTGATTTTGCTTTTTTGATCCAGCACCTGTTATCAGTTTCAAGGATTTTTCTAAATTCTTCTAAGTAATTCTTGCCCTCGCAGTTTCTAACAATAGCTCATTTATAGCACATCAATGCAGCTGAACCAACCTGGGAAGTACTTTTCTTGAGTTTCCATTTTCAAAGGTTTTCCATTTTGCCTCTGAGTACTTGCCTATCGCTAACTAAAGTTAAAATAAGAAATGGCAGCCTAGCCAGGTACAGTGACATGTGCCTGTGATTGCAGCTACTTGAGAGGCTGAGGCAGGAGGATCGCAGGTATGAGGCCGGCCTGGGCAACTTAGTGAGACCTTTCTCAAAATAAAATTTTAAAGAGAGCTAGAGGTGTAGCTCAGTGGTGAAGCATTTCTCCAGTATGTACAAGGCCCTGGATTGAATCCCCAGTACTGCCAAAAGAAAAAGAGAATTAGTTGGCCAGGCATGGTGGTACATGCCTGTGATCCCAGCACTTGGGAGGCTGAGACAGGAGGATAGCTGTGAGTTCGAGGCCAGCATAGGCTACAGAGTGAGTTCAAGGCCAGCCTGAACTGCACAGAAAAAGCCTGTCTCAAAAACAAAAAAAGAAAAGCTCTAGAACAGGACATGGTAATACATGCCTGTCATTCTAGCACTCAGGAGGCTGAGCCAGGAGGATCACCATGAGTTTGAGGCCAGCCTGGGCTGCACAGTGAGTTCAAAGCCAGCCTGAATTAGAGTGAGACCCTGTTTTAAAAAATAAATTAGCAATTCAAACTCGAATTGTCTAGTCTTTTATCTCATTCTGTTGCACATTATTTATCCTTTACCATCCGGTAGTATAGGATCCATTTCCTAGTGAGCCCCTTCCAGTGATGGTGGAAAAAGGATTAAAATTCTATCCTCATTAGGTCAATGGCAACCATATTTTCATTGTGCTGAGGGCAATGGTCTGACCAGCAGCTTAATCAAGTCTGCATAATCATTTTTATATTTTAATGATAATATTGGAAAGTTTTCTACGTGAGTTGACAGAGTTACCTTACTAGTAACAAGCATCTGAAAACACTAGCAGCAGTGCAGAAAAAAAATAATCAAGTACATACAGATCTGTCCTGTCTGCAGGTCATAGTCAAAGGCATCCACGGAGTAGGACAGGCTGTCGATGTAATAGAAGATTTTGTGGTCCAAGGACCAATCCAGACCATTGGAGATGTCTACCTGGTCGAAGTACTTCTTTACATGGTGGTCAGGAAAGAGGGAGTAGAGCGCCCCCTGGTGCCGCTCAAGAACTGCTGGGGCGGTTTCCTCTGCCATGGTGCCTACAAAAGCCAAAAACCATGAGATCAACCCTGTAGCCTCTTGCTCACGTATGGCACCTTCATTTCGTACCAGGGATCCTCTCCAGGGCTTAAAACAAGGCAATTACAACACAGTCTTAAATTTTTGTAAAATGACAACTACTGCTGGTGTGATGGACCATGCCTGTTATCCCGGTTATATTAGAGACTGAGGCAGGAGGGTCTTAAATTCAAGGCCTGCTTGGACTAGTTGGTCTCTGTCTCAAAAATACATACATACATACATACATGCGGGTAGTTGGGGATATAGCTCTATGCTCCCTGGGCGCAATCCCTAGTACTGCCAAGAAGAAAAAGAAAAGAAAAAAATACAACTATCTTGTTTATAATGCAAATTAACACTACGCTGAGAAATTCTGGTTCCAAATAAGAAAGACTAAACATGCACCACCTCATATTCTCCTGAGCACAACTACTAAACCTGGACAACAGCCACAGCATAGCGACTTGAGAGCTTTGAAAGCATCGGCAGGCAGCCCAGGGAAGAACAGCAAAAGTGGAAGCACTGCCTCATTGGCGGTGAGCTCTCTCTCTTCGTCCTCAGTATCTCCCGGCTTGAAGGCAGCACAGCCTGAAATCTGGAGTGGGGCACAGGCGTGCAGACAGACAGGGATCTAAGAGAAATCCTCTAGACCTGGCTTAAGCAGCAGAAATAAATCCCCAGGTTGGGGGTGTAGCTCCGTAATAGAGCACTCGCCTAGCATACACGAGGTCCTGAGTTCCATTGCCAGCAACACACACACACACACACACACACACACACACACACACACACACGGAGCTCCTGAAGCTCAGAAGGAGTAAAGGAAACCCCAAGGTTATTTTCTACTCCTTTTTCTCTACCATCTAATGCTCCCAGGCCCCCAGACAATTCTTCAGGAGGGGCAGCAGAGAGGAGAGAGTGGCCAGCAATCAGAAACTAATGCCATCAAAACTCTGAGGGAAGAGAACTTTTCTCTCTATTTGGTGAGGCTCTGTGCAGCTCCAAAGGTGAGATCTAACCACTATTGCTTTGATTTATTTATTTTGCAGTACTGAGCATTAAGCCCAGGCTCTTCACATGGAGCTACATACATCCCAACACCTACTTTCTCATTTCTTACTCTGAGACAGGGTCTTATTAATTTGCTGCCGGGTGTGGTGGTGCATGCCTAGAGGATCGTCATGACTTCGAGGCCAGCCTGGGCTACATAGTGAGTTTAAGACCAGCCTGAACTACAGAGCAAGACCCTGTCTCAAAAAGAAAAAAAAATATTGCCCAGGCTGAGCTCAACCCTGGGATCCTCATGCCTTACCCTCCCAGACTGCTGGGGTTATAGGTGTGCACTACCACACCTGACAATTTTATTGGTTTGTTTGTTTGTTGAGATAAGGTCTCACTGTGTAGTTCAGGCTCACAGTGAACTCACTATGTAGTCCAGGTTGGCCTTGAACTCACAGTAATCCTCCTGCCTCAGCCCCGTGAGTGCTGCGATTACAGCTGTGCACCACCATGCCTGGTGCTTATTCTGTTTTTTTCTCGTTTTCTTTTTGTTTTTTCTTTAACTCTATGGCTTTCATACTTTTTTCACATCTTCCTGCTGCTTGGCCCTGGAGGCAGTGCAATTATAGGAGTGGCTAGAGGAATGAAAATGAGAGTTCTGAGAGACAGGCAGTTGATATGGAATATAATCCCATAAAGCTGTTTATGAACTCCTAGCCTCATTCCTAATTTGTATAAGAATGGATCAGATTCTAATACAAAAAAAAGATTTTTGGAGTAGAACTAATGGACAGAACTCCTTCTGTCCCAGACTGACCACCGAGAGGCACATGTGTGGCAGAGCCCCATAGCACCTAATAGAAGGCAGGTTGGGAGGCTGAGGCAGGAAGATTGTTGCAAGTCTGAGACCAACCTGGGCTGCAAAGTGAGCTCAAGGCCAGCCTGAATGGCATAGTGAGACCCTGTCTCAAAAAGACAAAAATAAAAAAAAAGAAAGCAGGTTGGAACTTGCAGCCTTACCCCAAATATATTAATATATATATATATATATATATATATATATATATATATATGGCCTGCTAAAACTACTATAACAACATGTCCCAAAGGATTTAAACAGAACTCAGGGTCCAATAACAATATTCAAAATGTCTGGGATATAACTATAATTTACTCAGTGCTAGAGCCAAATGTGCCTATAATTATGGCATGCTTTTCATCCCAGCTTCTTGGGAGAAGGATCAGAACTTCAAGGCCAGCCTGGACAATTTAGCCAAGACTGTTGCAAACAAACAAACAAACGAACAAGGGCTGGGGATATAGCTCAGCATTCCTTGGGGTCAACTCTTAGTACTTAAAAAAAATATAAGGCTGGGAATGGTATTGCACACCTATAATTTCAGCACTTGGGAGGCTGAGGCAGGAGGATTGCCACAGTTTGAGGCCAGGCTGGGCTACATAGTGAATTCAAGGCCAGCCTGGACTATCTAGTGAGACCCTTTCTCAAAAAGAAAAGAGAAGAAAAGAAAAGAAAAGAAATAAAAGACTAAACAAAAAGGAAAACTTTCATTTGATAATTCTTCATATCTTCTACTTCTTTGCTGTTACTTTCTGAGTTTTGTTTCAAGACTGTTTATAATAATTTGAGTTTCTATGACAGTTGTCTTAGTCTTTGACAATTCCAATATCTACGCCATATCATTTTCAGCATTCACTGATCTCTTTGATTTGATTCATTGATTGTTTTGTACAAGTTGAGATTTTCATGCTTCTTTGTGTTTCCAAGTGTGTGAGGATTAAGAGGAGAGAAGAAGTATTAGTAGAAGAGGAAAAAGAAAAAATGCTTATGTCAGCTTGTGGTTCCAATCCATGACCGAGTGGTCCCATTCTCTGGGCGAGGCAGCACGTTACAGTACAAATACAAAATGGAACAAACTGCTTACCTCATGAGCCAGGAAACAAAGGGCAGCTGGACAGGCCAAGGTCTCACAATACTCTTCAGACCTAAGGACTGCCCACAATGCCTACTAAGGATCCACAGCACCTCCCCATAGCAGTGCCTGGGAGACCAAGCCTTTAAAGTGGACCTTTGGGGGCCATTCAGTATTCAAATTACAGTACCAAGTAACTTCTTTTTTAGTTTTTTGAGGCAAAGTCTCATTATGTAGCCCAGGCTGGCCTCAAACTCACGGCAATCCTCCTGCCTCAGCCTCCCAGGTGCTGGGATTACAGATGTGTACCACTATGCCTGGCTCAAATGAAAATTTTAGAAAAAAAATTTTACAACTCACTGGATCTATTCATCAATAGTAGGACATATGACAGAGGAAAGAGTCAGTGTACCTGAGGGTGGATCAATAGAAATTATTCAATCTGAATGACAGAGAGAAAAAAAGATTGGAAGAAAAACGAATGGAGCCTCAGGGACCCATGGGACAACAACAGAAGGGCTAATGCATCTCTTGGTTCCTAGAGAAGAGCGGGTACACCCCCCCCAAATTTGAAGGTTACTTCGATCAAAATTCCTCAAGCTTGGTGTTTTGGCTGGTACACTGTGTCAACTTGGGGAGTCTAGAGGCTTGGCTAAGCCGCAGTTGAAAAGGACCTGTCCTTACCCTTTTGGGATGCTCTTCATTTTGTCAATTTGAGAAGTTTAGAAGGTTAACTATGCGACTCAGCAGGGAGCCAAGGTGCTTACTTTGTATTCATCCTGAGCCTGTACAAGAAGAGGGCATGCAGAGGGTGTGGGTATAGAGGACCCCCCACCCCCAGGGCGGGTAGGCTGCATAAGAAAAGGGTATTGAGAAAGGACTGATTGCTGGTTCATCTGAGGCGCTCCAGTCTTTGCCTTCAGCTTGGTCGTCTCCTGGCTTCTGGTGCAGACTGTTGGGCTTCCGCCTGGGACTCTTCAGCCTTCTGGTGTAGGCTCTCCAGCCCTTGTCATAGATTCTTCAGCATTCCGTCACAGACCCATCCACCTCCTGATATGGACTTGCACGGACACTGCAGTGAGCTGGGGCTGAGCTCTTTCATCTCCAGCATGCAGACACCCTCTGCACGCTTCCTCATCCAACTCTGCGGCTGACCATTGTAAGCCAAACTTGTAATTCCTTGTACATTTGTATATCTTGTGTTTCTCTAGAAACCTACCCCATGACTGCATGAGGCTTTGGGGGGACATCCTGACACAAACCCTAACACTTGGTGAAAAGCATAAAACTAGATTAAAAAACAAATCCAAAACAGGATAAATACAAAGAAACCTACACCCAGAGACATTGTAATGAAGTTACTGAAAACTAAAGTCAAACCAAAATGCTTTAAAGCAATAAAAATGGCAGAAATGAAAAGAAAAATGGCATATTATATATAGGGGAATAATGATTTCCAGGCCAAAAGGGTGATTACATATTGAAAATGTCAATTCACTAAGAACATATAGTTATCTTAAATGTGTCTGTGCTTAACAGTAAAAGTTCTCAGAACTGAAAGAATTAGAAAAATATAGACTTATAGTTGGCGACTCTCAATATTCATCTGTCAGCAGTCAATATCAGTAAACAAAATCAGCAAAGACATAAAAGAATTGAACGCCATCAGCCAACTGAACTCTCATTGATACCCGTACTTTTACGACCCTCCACCCACCAACAGGAGATAGACATTCTTCTCCAGTACATATGGAGTATCTCATTCATTGGACTTATTATTCAGAATCCATTTAAATGGAGTATGGTATGTAGCACACAGCTGTAATTCCAGCATTCAGGGGACTGAGAAGGAGGATCATGAGTTTGAGGCCAGCCTGGGCCACATAGCAAGTTCAAGGCAGGACTGGAATACAGAAAGACCCTGTTTCAAAAAAAAAAAATCACTTAGATAAACTTTTGTGGGATCTCAGGGGACAGAGAAGAATCTGATTATAATGAAGAAACTGGAAAGCTCATCTCCTATATCACATTTTATCTGAAAGAAGAGCAAGTTAGAAGAGGAAAGTGGAGTTCAAATGGAAAGCCGAACAGCAAGTAAGACAGGATAGGCCCTCCCTCCCTGCAAAGAAGGGAAATCACTCAGTGCTTATGTACTACAGGACCGGTGGGTTTGTTTCAATGAATATTCTTCCACACTACCTGCCTCACAGAAAAGATGCCCGGGGTGGGTGCAGTGGTACATGCCTATAACCCCAGCTATTCAGGAGGCTCAGGCAAGAGAGCCATAAGTTAGTTTATTTATTTATTTATTTATTTATTTTTGAGATAGGGTACATATGTATTTCAGGCTGGCCTTGAGCTCACTATGTAGTTTCAGGATGGCCTCGAACTCATGGTGATCCTCCTGCCTCAGCCTCCCAAGTGCTGGGATTACAGGTGTGTGCCACCACACCTGGTTGAGAATCACAAGTTTAAGGCCAGTCTTAGCAATTTAGTAAGATCCTGTGTCCAAAAGATAAATAAATAAAAACAGGGCTGAGGATGTTACTTAGCTGTAGAGCTTTTGCCTGACATTTGTGTGGCTCTGTGTTTAATTGTAGCACCACACACACACACATTTCATTCAGGCAAGAATTGACAGTGGATATAAGTCAGATATGGCCAACCTGGGCTACATAGTGTGTTCCAGGCCATCATGAACTATATAGTGAGATGCTGTCTCAAAAAAAAAAATAGTGAATATAAAACCTAAGGTGCTAAAAAAAAAAAGGAAACACCAAACAAACAAAAGTATAAAACCTAAGGAGAAATTTGGTTAAGGACCAGAGTATTTATGTTGATTTAAAGAATCTCTTGGGCTGGCGATATAGCTCAGTGGCACAAACGCCTGCCTGGCAAGCACAAGGTCCTGAGTTTGATTCCTGGTACCCCCCCCCCCTCCAAAAAAGAATCTCTCCATAGCCAGGCTCAAGATTTCTCCTAACGATCCCTGCCCCACAGCATTCACAGCCTTGTACAGTCCTCTCCATCCTCCCATTGTTACCTAGGTGACCAGTAGCACAAGGGAGAATTGATGGTATGTCATTTCTAAGATTGACCCATCTTAAGTTTCTGTCCCTCTCCCTCTCTTCACTAGCTCGAGGAAAAGAAAAATCATGTCCCGAGCATCCCTGCTGAGAGGCCCACATGGTGAGGAAATGAAGCTTCTTTCCTGCATGAATGAACTTGGAAGCACAACCTTCAGGTCCCTAGTCGACAGCTTGACTATCAGGTCATGAAACAGTCTGCACTAGAATCATCCAGCTAAGCCACATCCACATTCTTGATTTTCAGAAACTATGTGAGATAATGCACGTTTGTTATGGCGAGCCACTAAGTTTCTGGGTAATTTGTTAGACAGCAGTAGATAACAAACTCCACACATTCTTGTAAATGACAATTTAAAAAACAGCTATGGCCAGGTGTGGTGGTATATCTGTAATTCCAGGTGTTAGTGAGGATGAGGCAAAAGGATTTTGAGTTTGAGGCCAGCCTGAGCAACTTAACAAGATCCTGTCTCAAAGTAAAAAAATGTTTGTTTGTTTGTTTTTTGTTTTGGAGACAGGGTCTTGCTATGTAGTTTAGGCTGTCCCTGAACTTGCAGTGATCCTCCGTCTCAGCCTCCTGAGTGCTGAGATTACAGGCATGCATCATCACACCTAGCTAAAAATAAATTTTTTTTTTTCAGTACCAGGGATCGAACTCACGACCTTGCGCTTGCCAGGCAGGCACTGTGCCACTGAGCTAAATCCCCAGCCCCAAATAAAAATTTTTAAAAGGGCTGCTCAGTGGTAGAGCACTTTCCTAGTGTGTGCAAGGCCCTGGGTTTCATCCCCAGTGCTGAAAAAAAAAAACCCCAATTACTATACCATGGAGAAATCTTACAGGACCTTAACCAGGTCGTCAACATTAACATCACCAATGTGGGGCAGATGGACAACGTGCCTCTAGAGGGGACACCGCGGGAAGGACACAGCATCACCTACACAGTATTCCAGGCAAGAATGTACTGTAGAATATCAAGCCAACCACAAGGATACATCAGACAACTACAAAGTGAAGACTATTCTATTAAAGGGGGGCTGGGCGGAACATATCCTTTCAAAATGCCGCTGTCATAAAAAACAAAGAAAGGCCACAGAAATGTTCCAGATTAAGAGGATAAAAAGATAAACTACGTACAAACCATGATCCTAGACTGGATGCTTTACTGGAGGGAACAGTTATATAAAGGACATTATTCAGTTGATCAACATAACTGAAATACAGACAGTATATTAGATAAAATTATTGCATCAATGTTAAACTTCTTTCAGCTGATAACGGCACTGTGACCATGTAAGAAGATGTCATTTTTCTTGGGAAATGCATCCTGGAGTATTTCGGGGCAGAGGCACACCATATATAGGCAGACTATTCTTACCTCGGCTCCACCAGGGAAAATTATGTTTAGACATACAACAAATGTTAAAGCTAGGGGAACGAGATGTTAACAACGGGTGACAAGGATTTTGAGTTTGAGGCCAGCCTCAAACTATTCGTACCTTTTCTGTAAATTTGAAATTATTTTCAGTTTAGGGGCGATGGGGGTGTAGCTCAGTGGTAGAGTACTCGGCTGGCATTCACAAGGCCCTGGGTTCCACTCACAGCACAACAACAACAACAAAATTCCAATTTAAATTCATTGAAACTTCTGTGTTTAAAACTCATTTAAGCCACAAAAACACCATATAGACTTTAGTTTCTGCTAGAGAGAAATAGAAAAAGATATCTAGGAAGACTTTCCCATAGGGTTTGCTTTAGTGGTACAAGTTACTCAGGCAATAATACAAGAAAAGCATTGAGGGTATAGCCAAGGGCTTGAACGCTTGCCTGGCATCTGTGAGGTTCTGGGTTCAATTCCCAGCATTGCAAAAGAAAAAGAACCCCGCAAACCACATCTTCTTTATCCATTCCTCAGTGTATGGGCATTTGGGCTGTTTCCAAGATTTGGCTATTACAAACTGTGCTGCTATAAACATGGGTGTGCATATATACCTGTGATATGATGCTTTTAATTCTTTTGAAAAGATACCAAGAAGGGGAATAATTGGGTCAAATGGGACCTCCAATCCTAGTTTTTTGAGGAATCTCCACACTGATCTCCACAGTGGCTGCACCAGTCTATACTCCCACCGACAGTGGAGAAGGGTTCCTTTTCCTCACAACCCCTCCAGCATTTATTAGTGGTTGATTTCTTGGTGATAGCAGTTCTTTCTGGGATGAGATGGAATGTCAATGTTGTCTTAATTTGCATCTCTCAAATGACCAATGGTGCTGAACATTTTTTCATGTATCTATTTGCTATTTGTACTTCTTCATCTGAGAACTGTCTATTCATTTCAGATGCCCATTTTATCAGCCACGAAGGATGTAGTTGAGATATTTCTAGGTAAATGGATGTAATTTGAGGCCATACTCTTATGTGAAATAAACTGGGCACATATGGGTAAATATCACGTTGTTTCTCCGATGTAAGACATTAAAAGTGTAAATAAGGACCAAAATGTATAATAGATATTGTGAAATAGGAAGAAAATGTTCAGATGGGGAGGGGAGCTAGAGCAGAGGGAAGGGGAAAGGAAGGAAGGGCAAAGAAAAAAATGAGAAAAGATGGAAAAAAGGGAAACAAACGTTTTGTAAATAAGGAGGGGAAGGGGGGTTGAAAGAAGGGGGAATGGGAAAAAGAAAAAATAAGATATATCAAGTACAGGTACAAATTCCTTATGATGAATATGATCATTATGTATACCTAAAAAGTACCAATAAACTTAATTAATTTTTTAAAAAAGGAAAGGAAGGAAAGGTAAAAGAACCCAAAACCCATTTGAATAGCACTCTGATCACTGTAGCAGCCAGAACTTTCTAAATCATAGTGTTTCTTGCAAAGTTGAACAATGTAGAGGCTAAAAAGAAATCATACCAGCAAAGTATCTCCCAGCAGGATCCACTTTTCCATCATTGAATCGATTGTTTTTCTTATCTTGATCCACCTCAGCCAGGACAACTACTGACTCGTCTTCCCAGTTCAAAGCACAGAACTTTGTCCCAATGGTGGCGACATAGCCTCCCGACTGCCGAAGGGCCACGGAGCTGACTGGGGCATCTGTAGAGGCAAAAGCAGTCGTTAAAAGGTGGCGAGCAGTCCAGGGTCTGAGTAGCACACTGAGGCCATCCTATCCCCTGACATCTTTCAGAGAAGAAACCTAGCAATTTCGGCAGCGGGAGTGAGCTTTTTCTCTGTTGAGTAAGGAAGGCTACATAACCTTGTATATTTGTTGAGTGTCAACTCTGTGCACCGTTCTAGGCAGCAAAGCTAGAAAGACGACTCCAACTCTTGTGAATGTTCCCAGGCTCGTGGGAGAAACAGAGGAGTCAAACCACAGCAGCTGCTGGGGCAGGGAGGCTGAGGGTTGGAGGAAGGAGAGTTCAAGGCCAGCCTGGGCTGCTATATAGCAAGTTCCAGACCAGCTTGGAACATAGCAAGACTGTGTGTGTGTCTGCGTCTGTGTCTCTCTCTGTCCCTCTCTCTCCCTCCCTCCCTCTTTTCCCTTCTCTCTGTCTCCCTCTCTCTCCCCTCTCCCTTCTCACCTCTTCTCTCTCACAAAAAAAGTCAAAGCACAGCAGCTACAATGCAATACATCGGGGCAGGTGCCACATCCAGTGCAGAGGAGCTGTGCCTAATTGAAAGGCACCAGGTGTCATCACAGAATGTGCTGTGCTCAACTGGTCTGATCTCCAGGAAATTCAGAGATGCCAACTGTGTTTACTTCCAGCGACTAGGTTTTGTGACATTGCTCTCCTCTTTTAATATAGTATTTGTCCGTTCTTTGTGGTGCTGGGGATCCAAGCTAGGACTTTCTGTATCCTAGGCAAGTGCCCTACCACAGAACCACATTCTCAGCCCTAACTCTTAGGTTTTTAAGAGAGTTTTTTTTTATGCGTTCAATTGGAAACTGTTTCTCAAATCTTCTTTGGAATGAAGCATGGTGAAATATAAATAGGAATGTAGATGCAGTGATAATATAAGCATATCTTTTCATTACATTACTACGTTCTGTATTTTGAAATTTTATTTTTTCTGAGTTTGATATTTTTCTATGTATAAGAAAACATTTTGGGGTGCTGGGAATTAAACTCCAGGTCCTTGCACATGCTAAGCACACACTCTATCACTGAGCTAAATCCCCAGCCCTGAAAACGTTTTCTAAAGTGGAGAGATTAGCTGGATGTGGTGGTGCACACCTGTAATCCCAGCACTTGGGAGGCTGAGGCAGGTGGATCGCTGCGAGTTCGAGGTCACCCTGGACTACAAAGTGAGTTTAACACCAGCCTGAATTACATAGTGAGGCTCTGTGTAAAAAATGTGGAGAGAGGTTTGAAGCTAAGGGTTTGGTCCCCAGAAGTCCCCCCAAAAAGCATCTGAAGTGGGCAGATGGATTGCCGGGGTGAACAGTCACAGTAGAAATACATTTATCAGACATTCCTTAAAGTACCTAATTAGTGCAAGGTGTTGGGTGCTTTTAGCTCAAAGCTCTGCTCAGAGGTTGATTCAAGTCACCGAGGGTCCCAGGGAATGTGCAGGGCATGATGCGGAGGGTCGCACTCTCATCATGGATCTCTGTGGCTTGAGACTCCTGGTCACTTTCCGAGCTACTGCTGACACCACCAGCCATTCTTGCATGCTGAGGGAGCAGCTTTGCAGGTTTGGGGTGGGCACATGTACATGCTGGAAGGAACTCACTAGGGAAGGGGATGGGCCCACAGCCCTACTCTGCCCTCAGAGCCACAGCCGCTTTGCCTCCAGCAGCAGTAATATTCATAGGGAAGCAAAAGAGCTGCTCCGAGCTGAGCATAGTGGTGCACTTTGGGAGACTGAGATAGGAAGCTGCAAAGTTCAAGCCTATCCTAGGCAACCTGGTGAAACCCATCTGAAAATAGAAACTAAAAACAGGGCTGGGGATATAACTCAGTGCAAAGGTCCTGAGTTCAATCCCTAAGACTGCTAGAAAAAAAGGCTCTGGGTGCCAATCCCCAGGATGGGGGGAGGGTAACTAGATATTGATTGTGGTCCCTAGTTCGATTCATGGGAAGAGATACCGAGAATTCCTGTAGATTCCCAAGGTTACAGGATTTCCTGATATCTCATTCCCACGAACACAATAATGAAAAAAAGAAGCTTCTTTCTCTATCACTGATCATGTCAGCCCACAGCCTTGAGCCATAGAAAGCAACAGACTCCTTCTCTGGAAAGCACAGGGTCCTACACGGAATCACACTGAAATGCACACAGGGTTCCATCCGAATTCAGTTGTGCAGTGAACAAAGATAGGCCCGGTTGATAGTCCTCCGCTTCCCCCCGCGCCAGGGATAGAACTATGCTAGGTGAGCACTCTGCCACTGAGCTATGCTCTCTGACCTCTTCGCTTGCAAAAGACCTTTCCACATGCAAAGAAGAGGTCAACTTGTTGATCTTATTTTTCTTTAAATTAAGTTCGTGGCTTGACCAAGGCAGATGGCCTTTGCTGTGCCATTAACTTAGTCTTCAAATTTCAATGCTGTCGTGTAAAGGTGTCAAGGACAGATAGATACTGGGAGTGTTGTCCCTCACTGGAAGAGGATGAGGAAAGTACTGATGATCCAACACTTACTCCTGGGTCGAAGTGGGAGGACATGGAGTGTGACACAGACAGCGTGACAAGCCAAAAGGTCTTAAAGCACATTCAGTATGCTTTAATAAGAAGGTCCCAGGGGAAGGACAAACATGATGACTGCTCCTCCACTGGGAAAAGATGCCTGACTGCAAAGATGTGAGCTGGGCCTTCATCCTTACCCATGGTCACTCGCTGTACTTGCTTGGTGAGTGAATTCCACCGGCAAACCCGTTTTGCAGGAATGTCTACGAAGAGCAGAGAGTTGGACGCTTCCTCCCATACTGGAGACTCACCACACCGGCAGTTCTCAGGCAAGACACACTCGATTTTAATGGAAGACATTGTCACGCAGCAACCTACAGAAGACAGCAGAGATCAAGTGAAACATGATTGCATCGAGCCAATTCAGCACCATACTTGGCTGGAGACCTCGATAAAAATCTCAGGCATACTGTTTTATGGTGTTTTGCGGATACTGCACTTTTTACAGATTGAATATTTTTGGTTTTTTGCAACAGGGTCTCGCCATGTAGTTCAGGCTGCCCTTGAACTCACTATGTAGCCCAGGCTGGCCTTGAACTTGCAGCGATCCTCAGTAGGTGTGCACCACCACACCCTGCAATAAAGTATTTTTAAAATTAAGGTCTGTACATTTTAGAGACATAATGCTAGTGGACACTTAATAGACCACTGTGTACTATGAACATAACAGCTCTATGCACTGGGAAACGCAAACAATTGTGTCTCATTTTCTTATGAAATTTGCTTTATCACAGTGATCTGGAACCCAACTCCCAACCTCTCAGAGGTATGGCTGTGTTTGATCAGAACTGGAAAAACTGGGCTTACTTTCCGAAAGTCAGAATAAGATCAGCAAGGTGACAGGAGGAGACATGTAGCAGGAAGAAGAAATAGCTGACAGGAGATACCAGGAGACATTTTCAATCAACTTACCAATGAGGTCTTTTTTTCAAGCTGTCTTTATAAAGAAGAGCGATACTCAGACACTCACACCTTGGTGCTGGTGACCCTCAGAGAGCTCGCTGTTTGGAGAGTGCAAGATTGCTCTTTATGCCAGCACTCCCGCCCCTTAGGGTGGTCAGGGGGCGGGCAGCTCCCTCATTGGTGGCCACTTTGGGTGTCTACAGGTCACCTTCTCTTGCTATCTTCTCTTCCTCCATCTGTTGGTGCTATTGATCCCCCTGGAGGCCAGGGCCTTCCTGATCTGCATTTTTAGAAATCTGTTCACCAGTAATAATGCACTAACTTAGAGCCGTAGAACGCATGCTTAGCATGCCTGAACCCCTGGGTTCGATCCCTAGCAAAACCACCCCCCTATCCATTTTCAAATTCATACAATGGAAGGAATGAAGAAAAGGCCACCTGCTAAGCACCACAGGAGGAGCTGATCACTCCTCTGGCTCCCTGGGCAGGCATGGCGCCAGTATGACAACTGGTCTTGAACTGCACAAGTAAGGAACATTCTGTTCTGGGACTTTAGGCCAGAGACCATCATCAGTAAATTAGGAGAAGAAAAAGAAGAATTATCAGGAAAAAAAAACAACCCAAACTGATCAGATAAGAATCCCATGTGGGAGACCGGCAACTTTCAATACCATCCTTCCTTTTAAAATTTTATTTATTTTTTAAAGAGAATAAAAAATAATTTAAAAAACCATTAGATACAGAATTAGACTAAATAAGATGATAGGAATTCAACAAAGGTTATTATGTTGCATATTGGTGTCTTCAAATTATTTGTTCAGATTACCAGATATAAGCATGCAAAATTGGTCCAAAAACTAAAAAGAAGAAAAAAAATTTTAAGCAGTAACTGTTCAATAGCCCAATAGAGATCAGCTGTACAATTGCTCCAGCTATCCTGCGTATACACATGTGTATTAGCATCCTTCCTGTCGCCCTGCTCTGCTTTCAATATGCAGATTTCCAGTGGGTAAAAATTGCTGGCACTCGTGTCTATGTGCTTTAACCAAGTGGTCCCACACGTGGGTGGACAAATGGATAGGAGAGAAGGGAGAAAACTGATCTTGTTTTAATATTTCTTTCAATAATCTGGGCTACGTAGGAAATTCAAGGCCAGCTTGTATATAGTGAGAGATTGCCTCATACCCCATCCCCCCCAAATTTCCTCAGTAAACTATACTTTAAAAAAACCCACACTTATCTCAAAGTTGTTTTAAATAATGACTGCCAGCCTCATTGCATTCCGAATGTTCACTGGATGTTAAAAATTGGCTCAGACTCCAAAGGCCTTCATACTATCAATCTTAGATAAGAGCCAAGATCAGAAGCTCCACTTTTAATAGTGACTTTTAACCCTGCTGCTCTGCCTGTGTCACGCAGGCCCTGGCTGCGGAGGGGTGGTTGGGCGAGGAGAAAGGCGGCGGGGCTCGCGCTGCACCTGGGGTGTCTGCGGAGGTGCTCAGTGTGCACACAGTGCGGGCCATCCACCTGCCCAGCCGCTGTCGTGGCCCGGGCCACTGCATCAGCAACAGCGATGGCAAGGCCCTGGGCAGCTGAAGGCGGAGCCCGGTTCATCCTAGTGCGGGCCTCTGCTGCGGGCGCCCAGGCCAGCCCGGATGAGCTCTGCGCGGGTCCCGGGTGGGCACACAGCAGTCACCCTCCTGGATGCCCCTGGTTGGGAGACTGGGCCGGTTTGGTCTCGCTCCACCCTCGCTTGGACCTTTCGCGGGTGGGGTTGGGGGGAGGAGGGCCGACCAGGGCACTCACCAGGCCGGAGACTTCTCTGGTGGCTGCAAGGTCAGGCCCTGCGGGGGAGGGGAAATTCCGTGGAACACAGCGGCTGGGCGGGTGGATGGCCTCAGGCCTGGGGACAAGGCGGCCCTTCTTGCTGGTCCCGCTCCCTTCAAAGGCCGACGCTGTACCCCTCTGCACCCGCAGCGGGAAGAATTCCTGCCAAGCCACACGGGGCAAGGACGGGGTGGGGGTGGGGTGCGGGAATGGAGAGGCGGGGACAGAGTGAACCTAAACTTCGGAGTTTGAACTAGGGTATCAAACGTTTATCTTTTACTTAAACAAACAAAAGTTGTTAAAGTGCCTAACAGATTGGCACAAGGTCTCATTAAACACAAACAGATTTAAAAAGGAAAGAACAAAGTGATTAAATAAATCCTCCCTCTACCTAGTCGGTAAGACGCTGATGGCCGGAAGCCAACTCTTGCAAAACGTTTTTGGTGCGGAAGAGAAAAGAGTGTATTTGATTTGACTGTAAAAAATCACATGGAAAAAAACCCCGACCCCGACTCAGGAGCAGTCCTCAGCTTCACATTCGTTCCCCATGGAGAGCCCACAGGTATTCCTCATCCTGCCCCTTGACTCTCTACTTGCTCTACATAACCCACAAGTTTAAAAGATTACAATTTGGTTTGTCCGCGGTGCTGGGGATGGAACCTGGGGTCTCACAAGAATGCTAGGCAGGGATTTACGACTGTGCTACTGCTCCAGGCCCTTAAACGAATTTTTAAAGGGAGGGAGTCAGACAGAATGGTGCTTGTCCCTCGGGGATAGCAGCAGGGAGTAACTGCCAAGGGGAGTAAGGGAAATTTGTGGGGCAATGGGAATGGTCTCTAAACAGATAGAGACTTGCATTGCACGGGGGTATGTACTGTCAAAAACCACTCAACTCTATGCTTGAGATTAATACATTACCTCATTATTCATCTCATTCTAGTATCCTATTCCCTGATATCTGAACTGTCCTAAAAATTGCCTAGTACTCTCAAAGTACCATCAATTTGACATTGTAAATTTTAATTCACAAAGGAGGAAGAACTAGAGATCAACATCAGAAAACTCAAAGCAAGCAGAAAATTGGTGGAGCAACCTCAGCTCATTTTTTTGTGTGTGCATTTTTGGAGGTAGAAGCCAGCGTGTTCCACATGCTAGGCAAGTGCCCTACTAGTGATCTGTGTACAGTCCACCTCCCGTGAGCTCAAAGCTTAAAGCTAGTAATTTAGAAGAACCACTACTTCGAGCCTCACTGATTTTCTGTTGGCCCTGGGAGGTACTTAAGACAGTTATGCGCTCATTTTCCTATTTACAGATGGGCAAATATAAGTCGACAAGGTGAACAGACCTCCAAAGCCATACGACTGAGGTAGGATCGAAAAAATGATAGGTAAAAAAGTGACAAGGAAAATCAGAATTTTAAAATTGTACTTTTTTTTTTGTCTTTTTGACGCAGGGTTTCACTATGTAGCTCAGGCTGGATTTGAACTCACCTATATAGCCCAGGCTGGCTTCGAATTCATCACGGTGATCCTCCTGCCTCAGCCTCCTGAGTGCTGGGATTACAGGTGTGTGCCACCACGCCTGGCTTTTACAGTTGTACTTTGAAGAGAAACTGTACAGCCCAGTGTGGTGGTGCATACCTGCAATCCCAGGACTTGGGAGGCTGAGGCAGGAGGATTGCCTGAGTTCAAGGCCAACCTGATCTGCGTAGTGAAACCCCTGCCTCAAAAAACTTAAAAAATCCTAAGGGTCTTAAAGACTTAATAAGCCTGTAAATTGGGTTCTGGGCCTGTGCTTTTCACCTGTAAATTGCGCTTCCTCTCACAGACCTCCATCCTCAAGGAAGCAACAGCGTTAATGGGCAGCTTCTGTCAATTTCAAACGCAAGTAAATGGTTTGTATTCTAGTGTAGCCTAACAGATGGGGAGCCACACGGACAGTAGGAATACACATCCAAGGTCTCCCATCCTGAAGACACCCCCAAGACCCCACAAAAATACCCACCTTCAGATTCAGATTATAAGGTGGTTTGCTCTCTCTCTCCCTCCCTCCCCGCCTCCCTCCCCCCTCTGTCTTGAGGGCCCACACTATTTGAGTGTGTACTTTTTAATTTCTGCCTAATCTTTTCCGTGCCTCTTACCGACCAGTCCTAAAAATTCCTTTTCCATGACCGGAGTCAGCAAACCTGCACCTTGATTCTATGGGTAGGATGGGTCTAGGTTTCTTATTTCAATGGGAGCCTCCTCCTTCCTGCGACCCTGCCCCTGCGGTGACAGAACCAGCTGAAAAAAAGATAGCAAATAGCCTAAGCCATTGGTGGAGACATAAAAATCTAAAAAAAGCTTTTTTCTTTCTTCTCTCATTCATTAGTCCTTTGCTTCTTCTCCCTCCCTCTTCCTCCCTCCCTCCCTTCCTTCCTTCCTTCCCTCCCTCCCTTCCTCCCTCCCTCTCTTCTTTCCTTCCTTCCTTCCTTCCTTCCTTCCTTCCTTCCTTCCTTCCTTCCTTCCTTCCTTTTTGTATTACTGGGGATTGAACTCAGGTCCTTCACACTGAGCTGCATCCTTAGCCCTTTAATTTTTTTGAGGCAGGATCTCACTAAATTGCTAAATTGCCTGGCAGGGATTGAATTTACAATCCTTCTACCTCAGCCTCCCATAGTGCTGGGGGTTACAGTCATATGCTGCCATGGCCCACCTTTTAGGGTGGGTCAAAGACAGTGGGATTGGAATGCCCTAGATGTTGGGGATTTCTGGGGTTTTGCTATGCCCTCTCTCTAAGGAGTCTCTTCCTAGCTCATGGCTTCTTCTGCCTCTTCAATGCTAACGACACCCTCAGTAATCTGTATTAAAGCCCAGATCTCTCCCAAGTTACAGGCCTGGAGACCAACCCCTTTCCTCAGTAGCTCTAAGAAGTTGCCCAAAGCCAATCATCTCATTCACAAACTGCCTGCTCTATCTTGGCAAACAGGACCATGGTGCCACCAGTGGATTATGCAAGAAACCAGACACTCCACCAAACATCTCGTTTCCTAACTCAAGGCCAGCTAATCACTAGATCATAGAAGCGTCCCTTTAATGTTCTAATTATGTTGGCACTGCCTCAATGCATTCAGGCCTTCCCTATTTCTTGCCCAGATTGTTGTCATCTCCCTGGAGGTCTTCACTCACCCCTTTGGATGTGCTGCCAAAATGACCCGCTAGGCCAGGAGTCCCATAGGGTCTTGTTCACCCTGAGCTCCTGAGGTCTTGCTGCAGTGCTGACGTTAGATGTTTCAGTTATCTGCTTTCCATTTTTATTTTTTGCAGGTGGGGGGTGATCTTTATTTAGAAAAACTTTTCAGTCTTACAGAAAAGTTGCAAAAATAACATAAAGAAGTCATGATTACCCTTCATCTGAGTTCCTCAAATGTTAACTATTTTCCACATTTGCACGCACCCCCATTTCTCTCATCTGGCCCAGGCTGGCCTTGAACTTGGCCACTCAGTCAATCCCCCTGCCTCACCCTCTAAGCTACCCTATATCATATTACGTTATATATATTAAAATATATATTATAGATACAATTCCCCTGAACAGTTTGAGAGTACATTGCCAACACGATGCTCGTTTACCTCTAAATACTTTAGTGTGCATTTCGGGAAAACAAGGACCTTCTCATACAACCATAGCACAATAATCAAAAGCAGGCAGTAAGTATGGATACAGTATTGTCTAATTGAGTTTCGCCAATTGTTTCATTAATGTCCATCATAATAAAAGGGAGAAAAGTGTTTCTTTTTTATTTTAAAGAGAATAAAAACAACGATACACAATTTCAAAACAAGATAATAGGAAATTAATAAAGGTTGTTATATTGCATATTGTTATCTTTAAAGTACTTGCTCAGATTACAAGATATAGGCATTCAGAATTGATCAAGTAGTATAAGCACAAACTGTTCCTTTCAGTGAACTAATAGAAATTAGTAGTATAATTATCTTAGCTGTCTTGTATGTGTATATACATGTTTATGTACATCTTCTTTTTCTTTCCTTCTTTTCACCTTTCCCCCATCCCAGTTGTTCTTTCCTTTGGAGCAGTTTCTTCCCTTCTTTTTTTAAATTGTTATCTCAGTTATTTATTTTTCCACAGTGATGGAAAATGACGAACACAGAATGTTGTGATGGAAAGTTAACACAGTCTTTTTACAGAAATCCCTCCCTCCCTCACTTATGAGGGGAGAAAAGTATTTCATCCTCAAATCCAGCCTAGGGTAAACATTGCATTTGGCATCATTTAATCTCCTTCCATCTGAAACAGTTCCTCAGCCTTTCTGCTTCATGACATTGGCATTTCTGGAGTTCAAAAGGCAGAACATCTTTTCATTTGGGATTATGTGCTTCTTTTCCCTTTATGGTTAATTCAGGTTCTGTCTTTTGGCAATACTATAAAAGTGATGGTGTATCCTCAGCATCTGGAGGGAAATGATGCTGGTTTAACTTGGATCACAATATGTGATTATTGAATCTCTATAACATACAATCTGATCATACCATTTTGTATTCAACCCAAGAGAATACAAAAGCCTTCAGACTTGCTGTTATTCCCTCTGTCATAGTTTAGCCACATACTTGGTTTCTTGCCTTTAACCCAACTCCTACCTCTGCACTGGGCTAATGGCTAAGCTGAATGTCTCCTCCTCCAGGATGCCTTTGCGGACCCACCTGGCTCTCTGACCTATTGCTCTTACAGTGTCTTGTTTCCACTTTATTATACTGCTCATCCCACTCACTGAGCACCGTTGGTTTGTCTGTCTTTCCTGCTGTGTTATAGACTCTCTGAGGCTAAGTCTTCAAGTGAGAATTTGATTACAATATAAATGCCTTTCACTCAAAGATCAGCTCTAGTCAAACAAATCTGTGTTCGCTGACTCCTTGCAATACATATCCTGGGGAACCATAGGACATCATGTAGCAGAAAATGCCCCCTCCCACCAGTATATTTCAGGCCCTGTTGGTTGCCCAGGTAACAGTTCTTGTTATAGTTCCTGCTACTTTTGTTTCTTAGAAATGCCTGGTCACTCTGATGCACAGCTGCTCACTGTGATGCATTTTGTAAGAACCAATCAAAGCAGCCAAGTACCCTGCTTCTTGCCTGCAACTCCATAAAAACCTCCCTCCCTGAGCCTTCCAGGCCCGA